CTATAGGTTTTCTCTGTCCTAAGTCTACGGGCTCCTTGAAGCATAGACTCACTTGTTCCCCAGAGACACTGGATGTGAAAATGTCTTGTGATTGAAAGGAAGAGTTCTCCAAGTATTAGTGTGTTACTTTTCTACCACGTACCCTCCTTAGAACAGCACCTTACCTTTGCCATACAGCAGACTCTCATCAAATATATGCTAAATTCAGTCTTTCATTTCTCACACAGAGTAGCTGAGATACGTTAGATTCTCATCTTTCTCGCCTTATAATAAGTGCACCACTTAAAGAAGTAACGGAAAATAAAACCTAACTTACTGGGGCAGTGGAAATTATTTAAAGCAACTGGGAAATCTACTGTAAAAGACAACCTCCGAAAGAGAATGTCCTTTAAGGATTGGAAGAGCGTGTTTGGGGGTTTATTTCTTTATTTACCCTTGCCTTGGAGTTTGCATGGTGGGAATTTCCAATAAAAGGGATTCTCTCTCATTTTCTGCTGAACTTATAAAAGGAAAACAGCCAAGAAAACACGCTATAAGTCATCTCTTCCGTTTGGTTTTGGCAGCTGGCAGATGAATATGATAACCTGGAATAAAGAGAAACAATAGCAAATCTGAGTAATAAAGAGTGTTTGCCTTCAAGACTCCTCAAAGTATTGTCATGGAGCTGTGTTTAGAGAAAGGATAGGAAGCATTTAATAGCCTTGTTTAGAAGAAGGACAATGAAGCAAGAGGCAAACATCCTTCGGCTGATGTCATCCGTCAGCACGCGATGGCGCGTCCACGAGTCTTGCCTACAGCGCAGCTGGCGCAAAACTCTCAGGTTTCCTCAGTGACGGTGCTGCTTTGCACACAGATGTGGCGGGGGGGGGGGGATTTCTTCCTTGCGGTTGGCTCTTGGCCCGGTACAGCAAGGCATTTTTTCAACACAGCGGTAAGAGATTGGACCTCAGCTCCAGGATAACCAGTTTCATATCCTCCTCCTACCAGTAAGGAATGGGGTCTCTTTAATCCATCTCACTTGAGTTCCAGAATCATTTTTAAAAAGGCAGACAGTAGGAAAAATAGAACTCTGTTCTACAAACGTATAGAAGCTTTTAACATAGTCTGTTCAAAGACATTAAATGTGTGAAAGAAAACTTTAGAATCGTACTAT